AAATAAAAGAATCGGCGTGGATTTGAAGAAATGCCGAGTCGGCTTGATTTTCACTTGGGTCTCTTTCTAAAACTTGGTTCCAGAAAACGCTTCACCTACAGGCTGAAGCCAGAGGCCCGAGGAGCATGCGCCTCTATCTGCCCCTCCGCTCCCCAGAGGCCTGCAGGCCCATCTTTGCTCCTCCTGGGCCTCCCTGTCCCCAGGGTCCCTTGGACAAATAGGGCCTGGCAGCTGGGGGAGCATGAAGATGCCCTTTCCCGGCGCCCCCTGAGGAGCCCAGAGGCAGGACCCTCCAGAGCCTCCTGGCAGGTGGGTGGTCTGTGGTTTGAGGCTGTGCCTCTGAGTGCTCCCAGCCGGGCCCGGAGACCCCACCCTGGGCTCCCTGGCCTCCCTCTGTGCCTCCCCCAGCTCTGCCGGCCTCCTCGCTCCCCCGTGGACTCGGCTGAAGCTGGCGAGGATGGGCGAAGAGAAACGCCTAGACTTTCCCTTCTGGAAATGGCCCACGAGCCCCCTGAAACCCTCCCCATTTCCCAGGACAATTTATAAGGAGGGAAAATGGCGGGGGCGGGGGGCAATATGAATGATCTTAAAGGCATCAACAAGATAAAAAAACAGTGAGGAATGACTGGGAGGGCTGTAGAGAAGAGGACCCAGAACAGTAAACCCAGATCTCAAAGCTCCTTTTTGCCCTGAGGGCACTGGGGGGTCCAAATGAATCTGCTTAGAGACTCAAGTCACAGCTCCTCCCCACCAAAGGTGGTACCCCAGCCAGCCCTGCCCCCCCACCCCCCCACCTATCCAGCTAAAGGTAGGCCAGACTCAAACACACCCTCCCTGCACCCTTGGCTGCCTGTCCTCTGGGGAGGGGGGTGGCCGGAGCCTCTGGCCGCGAACTTGAGTCTCAGTAGCATTTACCAGAAGCTGAGAAAGTCCTTCCCAGAAGAGGCCATCATTCAAGGCCTGGAATGATCCCTACAAAGAGCGAGCTCTGCCCTGCATGTGCTATTCACAGCAGGAAGGGGCCACCTCCCTAGAAGGGCTCACGGAGCCAGGACAGAGAATGCCAAACTCCCCCCCGAAACTGCCACCAGCCCTCCCCGTGCCTTTCTCTGGAATGAACTTGTAAGGTGTCCAAGGCGTCCACACTGGAGGCCTCTTCTTACAAAGTCAAATTAAGAACCCACATTAGAACCCTTAACACCACCAGCCTCTCCCTGCCCCCCAGAACGTGCTCCATGCAGGGCGCTGCAAGGCTGTTTGGGGAGTCGAGCAGCCGGGCCTTGCAAAGGGCGTCTGATCCCGTGAGGTGGTTCCAGCCTCTTTGTTAGGGCGGTGCCCCCTGGCAGAACTGAGGCCCTCCCACCAGCTGGTCATTTCCTCAGAGCCCCTCCTGTCCCTTGAAACCAACAGGGTTCAGGCCTGACCTCCTGAGTTTGTGGCAACACCACATAGGAATTCACCTGCCTGTCGCCCCTTAGCGCTGTCACACAAGCAACAGCAATTTGCTTGATGCCCAGACTTGGCTTGGGGTCAGTTTTGTGGACACAGAAGCCACATGGGTTCTGTCTGCGGCGGGGCGGGGGGTGAGTTCCTAGAACAGTGCCTGGCACAGCAGAGGGCTCTGCCACTTTATTTCAAGTGAAAGAATAAAATCGCAGCATTTCCTGCGAAGCCAAAGGTGAGGGCGGCCATCCGCAGTGACAATGTTCTCCTTCTGGGGTACGCCGGCCGCCCCGCTCCTTATCTTGCTTCACGTTTCTCTTCTTTTGTCTCCTCCTTGTGCACAAGGCTTTCCAGGCGCGGGGCCCCCCGGGGCCCCTGGAGGGCTCTGACCGTCAAGGGCTGGCCTGTTTTCTGTACTTTATAAAAACGCCCCCAGAGCCGCCCTCCGCCGGGTCCTCATACCACCTTCCTTGTCACTATCCAAACAGCCCCCCAAGGGCAAGCTCGAGGCTCCGGCATGGAGAATGGAGGCTCCAGCCCGCGCGGAAGCAGGGGCGTCCCGGTAAGGCCCAGCCCGTGCGGAGCTGCATGGACGTCTTGACCGCTGGCAGCTTCTCAGAGGAAGGTGCCATTTTCCGGGCCACTGTGGGGAGACTGGTCGGCGCTGACGCCAGAAGGCCGGGTGCCTACAGGGTGGCTCCGAGGCTCAAAGGAGAGCGAGAAGGAGCAGCACGGGGCCGGCAGGGGGGCTTGAGATGGGGAGTGGGGGGCAGGAGGAGCAAGGAGTGTGAGGGCAGCAGAGGCTGGGCAGAAGGGTGTCTCACTCTCTTTCTCCAGCATCCTGGGGCTGCTCCCCACCGCCCCACCCCATGCTAAGGGGTGTCTAGGTCCCCTTGAACGCCACCATTCACACCACCAGGCCTCGCACTAAGATCCTCCTCAGTACCTCCTACAAGTCCAGCCAAGGGACCACTCTGCTGTCCTCCTGACCATCCACAGAATCAAGCCATTCCTTGTCTCCTATGCCACCCGGACCCCCCAAACACACACAAGAGAAGCCTTCACAGAGTAGACATATCCCACCTGCAGATACCTGAAATTCTTTGAAATACGCCCCCACCCCGCTATCGCTATCGCTGATCATCCCCTTGTGCCAGCTCCGCAGTCCTTACCACCAGGAGTAAAGTTTGAACTTGCAGCTCTTTATATACTGCCCTGGGAAGTGTGGGGGCCTTTCTCTCCCCTGCATCTATTTCTTCCACCAGCCAGACAGACAGGGAGTGGCGTGGCCGCCGGGCTCGCTCCCACATACTCTGCCCCCTCATTCTCTCCAGGGGTCACCGCCCAGCAAAGCGACTGTTTGGCCTCTAACCTGTAACAACCCCACACCCCCTCTTTCTCAGACCCAAAGCAGAATGCTCCGCGCCTTCTAGGGTCTTGCTACATACACCTGTTCCGGTTTAGCCTTTCCTTGCCCAGCTCTGGCCGGGCCACGCTACGCTGACGCCAGGCAAGCCCTGCTGTGGCTCCGTTGTCCTGGGACCCGGCCGGGGTTCACCGGGAGGCTCTCGGCCTGCAGCTGGGGCCACAGCAAGATTCCCTCCCACAAGCGTCAGTCCCATATTCCTGAGTGGAAGGGCATTTTTCACCTGTAGTTTGCAGGGAAGGAAAGGAAATTCTAATTCCTTTTGAAGTCGAGGTCTTCACTGCTCGCTGTCAGGAGACAGTGGCCCGCCACCACCCCTGTTCCCCCAAGAGAGATGGCTCTCCTGGGCTTCAGGAGGAAACCACCACTCCCCGCCAACTGAGCCCCTAACCCAGGCCTGGAGGGTAGTCTCATCCCAACCTTCCAGCCCTGGGGGCATGGAAGGATCTTTGGAGGGGACACCTCTAGCCTGGACCCCCAACAGTGGGCTGGTGCAGAAGAAGGTCAGGGGTGATGGAGGGGCTGTGGCCTAAACCTCCAGAACCAGAATGCAGAAAGCCAAGGTATGGTGATGAAGTGGGGTGTGGGAAGTAAGCACACTAAAGTCCTGCCCTTCAAGATGTGGTCCCTGAATAGGAGGTACCAGCCTCTCCTGGGAGCTTGCTGGAAATGCAGAATTCCAGGCCCCGTCCTGCTGACTAGCTGTGCTCTTGTGGGACATTCTCGCTGACCTCACCTCCTATGTGGCCTTGACCTGGGTGGACCTCACTGTGGTCCCCCATTGAAGCAGGCCTTCTGCGGTGCCCACACCCCGTCATAGACACCCAGCCCTGGTACCTGCACTCCCAGAGTGGCTGTTCCCAGATGGGGCCTCTGGACCCAGAAGTGAGCCTCAAAGTCCCAGCAGCAGGCGCCACGTGGGTCTGGCCCAGGGGCAGAGATGATGGCCTCGGCCAGGCCCCCTCGGGGTACAGATCAGAGCTTTTAGACTCCCAGGCCTCTTGGCCTCCGAGCTCACTGCTCCTGGGAGACACTGGACATGATTTCCACTGGCAGCACCATGCTGTGAATCAGGAAGCTCTTTATCACTGGGTGCAAATCCATTCTCTGCACCACCTGCAGTGGCCCAACATACCCCAGCCCTGCAGGGCAGGTAAGCAAGGAGGCACAGGTGTAGAAGGAAGAACTGGAGGAAGGGAAGCCAGGGCCTCCTGCAGAATCTTGCTCAGGACACAGGTGGCCCAGCCCAGAGGCAACAGCCCTCCGGCGGAGGGGACATTTGGGACCCCCAAAACTCTCTGAGCCCAACTTTGTGCCGTGTAGGAGGAGGACGCTGGTCTCCATGACCTCTAAGCGCCCCTCCAGCACCCACACCCCCGGGTCCCCCTGCCCAGCTGCCGAGAGCCCAGCCCATGGACTGTGTGTACTGAACTCTAGAGACAAGCTAAGGCTTTCCACACGCACGCTGAGGTAGGTTTGGTCCCCGGCCAAGGCGGCATCTCAGGTCAGCAGTGCCAGGACTGATGCCTGAACCCAAATAGACCTGAATCCGGACAGGACAGCTGCTTCCCAAACAATGGCGGGGGGCAGCGGCTCTGAGCCCTCTGTGCGTGTCAGGACCACGGGGTGGGGGGGGGGGGAGCTTGGGGCACAATGCCAGCCTTGGCGGGTTGCAGGAGTCCAGTGGGGCCACGAGGGCTGGGCATACGTGAGGCCCCTCAGCTCACTCTGCCTGTTGGGCCCTCCCTTGAGGACAGTCACTGAGCTGCTCTGCCAGGGCAGGGTCAGCCGAGGACTGGGGTGACTGACCACTGGGCCTGGCAGCCAGCAGAAGCCCCTGGGGCCGGGAGACCACGACGGGCGTCGCAAGCCTCACTCGGCTTTCGGCAGGTTTCCTTCTTCTCCGAGTCGGAGGCGGAGGTGGGGAACAAGGCATGAGGAGCAGGGAGGAAGCCATTATCTGAGCTCAGAAGCGGGACCGGTTTGGACCCCTGGGCCTCACTCTGTGCAGCTGCAAGACCATCCTTTCCACCCAGCAGATGGTCCGCAGGTACCTTCTGACAGCGCTTTTGAAAAAAATGGCTTAAATATTTACGGACATCAGAAAATGTCCATAATATTAAGTGAAAAAAAAATAGGTTCTATGGCCCAAATCTAGAGAAAAACACGGAAAAGCACCCACACAGAGGCCCAGGGGGGCCCCGCAGTCCAAGCAGGGCCGGTCACTCCTCGTCCTGGCTTCCTGGGCCCGACTCCCTGTCGCAGCCCTTCATTCTCCGTGGCCCCTGGAGGTCACCGGTCTGGGCACCCCCCAGACTCCGCTTCCAACCAGCACAGCTCCTGGCACAAGTGGGTGTTCCATAAGCATTTGCAAATGGCAGGAGGGAGGGAGAACAGAAAGACGAGAGGGAGGTGAGGAAACCGAGGAGGAAAACACGCCAAAGTGCTAAGGATGGTTATTACCTGGACGACTTGTTTTATCTTCTTTATCATTATGTCTTCCAAAATTTGACCAATTAAAAAAAAAATGGCTCCATTTTTAAACGAAAATTCTTTTTAAATCAGCCTGAAATGTTTCCTCGAAACTCCAGGCCCTGTTTTCAACTAGTGGACCCAGAAGACACTGGACCTCGGAGGGGTGGACCGCACCCGTCACGTCTTCTAGACCCCAGAGCGGGCGCCTGACCTGACTGGGCCCCACCCAAATGCTCATAAAAGAAATGAATGAATGAAAGAATAAATGTGAAGACGCCCAGAACTAGGACCAGGCACCCCACTTAAGGTAATGCTGGGAATGTGGGGATCCCTTTGGATAGTGATCCCTTTGGATAGTGATCCTTTGGATAGTGGCCCCTGTAAGAGGCTCATCATAAGGATGGAAGGAGGGAGATGGCAGAGGGGAACGAACGCCTCGCCAGGCCCCCTGTTCCTGCCATTCTGATTTTGATTCCCCGAAGCTGAGTTCATTCTGCTTTTAAGAAATGGATCTTGTCTTCCCAGAGGAGCTGGATTAGCAGGGAAAGGAAGGTCCTTCTGCAGCAGCCTCTCCCAGCCCCTTCCTGCCTCCTCCCCTCCGCCCAAGGGCTGTGCTGTGCCTGGGGGCTGTCAAGGAGAGAAGCACCTTAGGGAACACACACACGTGCACACACACGCTCACGCACGCACGCGCCTCTAGAATCCCATGCGCCTGCGAGCTTGGCAGGGCGCAGCAGCAGAGGGACCTGGGCCCTGAGCATGGACAAGCCCCAGCACTGGGTGGCCGTGCAGCCCCGTGTAGCACCCAGGGCAGCAGACCGGGGTGAGTGCTAGAGACAGCGCACAAGGGAAGCCCCCGCCAAGTGGACAAGTCAGCCCCACTGCTAGGAGCCAATAGCTGTCTGGGCACACAGGCACTGAGATCAGCACCCCAGAGGAGCCCCGGACCCGCACCTGCAGGAGGGGCCTGCCTCCACCACTCCTGGGCCAGGGGGCCTGGCCTGGCCTGGAGCAACTTCAAACACAGCCCCCGACAGTGCGCCTCCTCCAGCCAGTCACATCGCCAGATACCCCAGACCAGCTAGCACAGAGGACATGCTAAGAAGGACCAGGTAACACTGTCAGGGCAGAGAAACGCATACAGGATGTCACTCTCCAAAGGCTGCCCGGTGCTCCCATTCCCTGGGGAGAAGAAATGACTCTACATGCACACGTGTGCACGCCTGCATGCTCACATGCCTGTACACATGCACATGCCTGCGCACATGCCTGCACACGCTCATGTGTCTGCACACACACATGCGTACATAGGGGGGTTTCCCTGATACTCAAAATTCTTTGTGAACTAGCTGTGCCTGTATCTGCTGAACCCTTCTGGAAAAGGAAACATACTAAACTCCTGCGGAGCTGAGCGGCGGTCAGCATGTCCTTTGGAAACTCAACCAGGCCTGAAAGACGACCAAAGGGCCAGATGGCCGGAACCTGCGCGGTCCAGGAGTGCAGAATGTCAGAAACTCTAAATATGCAGCCGAATAGCCTTCAGGCTTTTTTTTCAGCTCCTTGAGAACTTCTGATCTCTTTTACTTTTGTCAACAGTGGCTATAAAATTACTGGGTTTTGTTTTTTTTTTTTAATCAATATCTTTCTCCCCTTTGTCCCTTAGCAAGGCAAAAGCCCTCTTCAGGGCCATCAGAGGGCTGATGTTTGGGCCTCCAGAGGCGACAGAGGTGACCTTGCTGCCGTGACAACACAGTCGTCCCAGAGTTCCATGGATCAAGTTTGTGACGGTTCCAACACCTCGAATGAGAGAGCTTCCAGATCCTTCACGCCCACGTTGCAGCTGGCCAACTCTGTCCACAGGATACCAAGACGCCAGAAAACAGTTTTTACCTAAAAAGGGGGGAACAAATTAGTACTTCTGGCAGAGCCCTGGATTCACCCTGATCTCTCCTCACAATCTCCATCATGCAGGCCACGTGCTCCCGGCCACAGCACCTTTGCATGTGCCGCCTGGAAGGCTCATTTCATTCCTCCAGATCATTCCTCCCTTTCCTTGAGTGCCCAGCTCAGAGTCTTTGCCTAGATCCTCAGAGACCCCCATCCTCCGCTGAAGACTTTTCTCCTTGTGTCCCTCCTTCGTTTTATGAATGTTTACACAAGGACCCAGCAAACCCTTTCTGTAGAAGTCCAGAAAGTAAATATTTCTGACTCTGAGAGGCCAACCGTTTCAGTGGTAGCTACTCTCCCCTGCTGCTGAGCCATGAACGCAGCCACAGACAGCACGGCAAGGCTGCCGGTGACCGTGTTCCCATAAAACTTTACTCGTGGGCACGGGGATTTGAATCAAATGTCATTTTTATGTGTCATAAAGTTCACCTTTTGATTCTTTTACAGCTATCAAAATGTAAAAGTCATTCTTAGCTGGTGGACTGTATAAAAACAGGCACGTGGCCTTAAATTTGGCCCACAGGCCCCTTGCTGATGTTCAGGTAACCCTTGAACAACTCAGCTTGAACTGAGCAGATCTGTTTATATACGGAATTCCTTATAAATAAATGATGTAAAGTTCTGGTCCAGTGCTGTCGATGTGTCTTCTTTTCCTTATGATTTTCTTAATAACACTTTCTTCTCTCTGGGGAACTTTACTATAAGAACACAGTTCGTAAGGCAGAGAGCTTGCGAAATAGTTGCTCATCGAAGCCTATGATACTGATAAGGCGCTGTCCAGTCAACAGCAATCTATTAGTAGTTATATTTGGGGGGATTCAAAAGTTACGCATGGATTTCTGAGTGCATGGGGATGAGCCCCTGAACCCCACATTGATCAAGGGTAAAGTGTATACACTTCAGTATTTGCAGGAAAAAGGACATGTGTATATAACTTACCTGCCCGCCCCCCAGGAAAATACCAGCATGTATACACACATACACACACACACACACACACACACACACACACACACACACACGCACAGCCCGCCCCGAGCAGAGGAGGCAAAGTGCTAAAACAGGAGACTCTGAATAAAAGGGTACAAGGGTGTTCCCTGCATTGTTTTTATTGTTGCAACATTTTTGAAGATCGAAACTATATCCAAATAAAGCCTTTTTTAAGAAAATAAATAGATATGGGTGTCCTCGGTGCACCTGGCTGGCTCTTCAGACACCAGTGACCAGGACTCGGGAAGCTCTGGGGACGTGGACACAGGGTCACATGAGGAGGCTGTCTGGAAAGTCCCAGCCCTCTTCATTCTCGCTGACTCCCTGAAGCAGTGAAGCTTTGGGGTCCTCCCTTGAGGAGGGTCCTAGCAGACAGAGCTCATAGCTGCAATACTTAACTTGACACCTGCCTTGCCTGCTAGCCTTCTTCCTGGAGAGCCTTACCCCTCCCTGCCCTCAAGATCCACCATCTGCTTCACTCCTGCCCGGGAGAGGCGCCCACCCCAGTGCCCACTGCGCCCAGGTCTTCCCTACCGGGTGGGCTCCAACCATCACCACACAAATTCCCAATCTGCTTCAGCCTCCTCTCAACATAAAGCTCAAATCCTGCTGAGGTGCCGGACACCTTAGCTGAGAACTGCACCCCGTGCCAGCAGTGCTTTGTAGAGGAAGGAAAATGCCTCGTGAGATGCATTTTACTAACCAGTAAGTCCCACATTCTGCAAGGACTGGGCCACAGAGACTGGCTCAGCTGGTGTGAGGAGGCCCCTAATGCTATTTCCCCGCCGGACACACCCGTTGCCAGGGGGTTTGACCTGCGGTCACCAGTTCCCTCTGGTGCCTTCTAGGCTCCGAAGCTCAGACACCCATTGCCCCTGAGTCGCCACATGCTGATGCTCTTAACAGCCCCGTCCCTCATCCTCAGAGACGAGGGAGCACAGGCTGAGAAGCACGGAGGCCTCAGCGACCTGGAGGGAACAACCACTCAAGCCCACCCTGAGTGAGCTTAGCAGCTGCCACAGAGTCCATG